TGAAAAATATATGTAGCAATGAGCGTGGCGTAACTTTTCCTGCTGTTATGCGTTTTTATTATAAAAACGTTTATATTATTAACCAGAAAATAAAACCGTGTCTGCCGACATCTGTTATTAAATATTGTTATAAAAAGTTTATATTTGATATTACTATACAATGGCAAACAGCTTAATTTTGAGGTCAGGAATAAGTTTTAGAAAAAAAAAAATTGTAAATGCTAATTTACAATTTTTGATGGGGAGTAAAATCGTCATTTCGTCGATCCTACTCACGACGCTCTTTATCTCCCCATCCCCATCCCCATCCCCATCCCCATCCCCTCGACTTTTTACCGCCAAAATTTAATAGCATCGACCTCCCTGAAAAATTTCAGAAACTTTCGACAATAAACACAGGCATTATTAAGATTCAAACAAGGTGAACAAAATCTTGCCACAAATTCCATATATACAGAAAAAAATACCCCCATTTTTTTGCATTTTTCGACGTTTCAAGGTCCAGAGTCAAAAAATGGAAAAATCTTGGTCATTTCTTGACCGATCGCCGTACTTCCCGTTATATATAACAGTCGGAAAAATAATAAATTGGTTTCGTCTTGTTTTAACTCGATTATGATACAAAAAACTAATAAATACAGTAACGTAACATTGAATTCGATCAAATTACACAAATGTTCACTATTTGTTCTCAACCACTCCGTTAACTAACATATTAAATTCCCTTCAGATGTCGCTTGGACAAGATGGTGGTGTGGCGTATTGCCCGGGAAATCTAATCAGAATCCAGATATTTCCGGCGGTATAGGGTTAAATTGCTCCCAATAAAAAATAATTCTAAAATTCATTAGAATACAGGTATACCTCGACTTACGTCGTTTCGAGTTACGTCGTTCCCGATTATACGTCGTTTGTCAAAAAAGTATATGGAAAAATAAAAATCAAGTTTAAGTCATTTTATTCGACTTTACGTCTGTCCGCCACAAATATTGAAGTCGTAATATCACTAGAAAAACGTTTAAAGCACATAAAATCATATTAAAATATAGGCCTATACATTTACAAGTATGTACTGTATTTAAGTACATGCATTCGTAAATTTAGATTACTTTTTCTGTACTATATTAAAAACTATTATTTGTTTGTAAGCTTAAAATAGATCCTTACTAATCATATATTATTAAAAATGCATTAATAAATAAAATACAGAACCGGGAATGGTAATTTACGGTTTAGCCTAGTGACAAGTAGATTTGGAGACAAGTAAATTCTACTTACGTCGTTTTTCGACTTAAGTCGTTTTCCTGGAACCAATTACCGACGTAAGGCGAGGTATACCTGTATATGTAGATAAGATGCGTTATATCCATTAAGAATTTCATTGCTTTTCTTCTTCTTAAGAATGAATTACTACAATATGATTCGATAACTTATAAACGAAATACAAGTACGTATCGGGGATTAGGTAAATATCGGCAATACCTAATTCTACACTTCGCTGTACACTATCAGACTTTAACTCGAACCCGTGTCCTCTGGAGCGCAGTCTGATGCCTTTACCTCTCAACCATCAAACAAATTGATTTCAAATTTTTTTACAATAACGAATGGCGATTTAGTATTTTTACAACGCGTAATAAAGGATTTTCAAGGAATACTTATCGTAGATGATGTATTATTTGAGTTTTTAAACTATTTAAGCTATTGAAATCACTATTACAGTATTTTGAAATTATCGTTTAAGACAAATTTGAGAATGACGTTGAGAAACATATCTTCTAAATCTCAGGGAGGATACTTATTTCGTAGTTGCCGTGCGTGTATAAAAACTACACAAACATGCATCACACACTCGCTCACACCCAGGTACTACAATTTGCAATTTAATAAATTAAACCATTTCTACAGTAGTTATGTAATTTAGAGTAATTTATATATTCAAGTACTGAATGTGATTGTATGGATTTAAATCGCTTTGCAAATTGATCTTGTTTTGATTGCCAGAAAATGATTTGTTGTATTTCCAGTCCAAAAACTTGTTCTAAATATTATACAAATCCTTTGTTTGCTAAATCGAATAGACGTAGAATCTATCCAAACGATAGGTCCTTTATGGATAAAACTCTTCATGTTTTATAGAACTCTCTTTTTAGGAGGCCACACGCCACAAGTTAGGAAACTACATTTCGGACTTTTCTGCTCCCTCTCCATTCGCTTATGTCAAATTTTAAGTGCAGTTAACGATTCCGGACTACTACCTTTTAAAACTAATAATCTTCACCATCTTCGCCTTTTCCCATGTTTATATGGAGTCGGCGTTTCCTTCTCTAATACTTTTTTTTTCAATTTCTCCCTATCAAGGGCTTCTTCTCTCTTAAGTCCCCTCAAGTCTTCTTCCAATAAAACTAACAAATAATAAAAGTTCAAAATCCAAAAGGAGAATATTTCTACTATATTTCTTCCACTGTCAAACTACAGGTGTCTGAAAATTTACTGCATAGTGAAAAGGGTTTAAGTAAGGTTTTAATAAAAATAAAGCTTTACATACGATATTGTAGCTTCTCTTACAGTGAATGCTGGAAATTTCTCCTCCCCTAAAGCCGGGAGGGTGAGGTCCTGAAACCTAGCAGGCCAGACTCCACGGGAGATTATGCGATCAGTAAGGAAGTCTTCCAAAAGCTGTAGTCCAAAAACCAGAATATCTGTGAGCAACAGTAATTATCGCCTTCTAGACTATCTCAAAGTTAAAACGAGAGACACAAATGATCTTATAGGTTTCGTATGCTATGCCTTACGTATACAGTCGACCCCCCTATAAGATCATTGATTTTTCCGTTTTATCTGAATTACATGTTGTAAGAGTCACTTAGATTTTACAAATATGTGAGCCATTCACAGTCCGGCACACGTATTTGTAAAATCTAAGTGACTCGTACAACATGTAATTCAGATAAAACGGAAAAATCAATGATCTTATAGGGGGGTCGACTGTAACTATTTGTAATATTACAAATTTCTCATTGCACAGTAACTTTTCGGGCATCATATACAGTACAAAGCATATAAGACCTGCAGATTATCCAGCAAGAGAAGCGTTTTCACAGTAGCGTTTAGAAAACTGCAAACAGCACTTCACGCATAGCTTTAATAAATGTTTAACAAAATAATCTGCAAGATATTCGTGCATCACAGGACAGCACCCATTACCAGATGTTTATCGTAAGGGGTACGGCGGCGACCCCAGTTCGTATGATCAAAATTGCTTGCATTAATCCACCTCTATCACCCAATTCATTTTCTCGATCTAATTTCTTAACATCCCGTATCCATGGTACCATTACATTATAATACAGTATCTTGTCTTCTATAGACAAAAAGTAAAATGTTTTTTTAAAAAAGATTGTGATGGTCGATAGGCGAAGAGATTAAGGTTTCAGACTATCGCTCTGAGACCTGGGATCGAATTTGAATGAACTCCAGGAATTTTTCGGATGTTGGTCTTTCTCGGACCCGCTCCTCATCACTCTGCACTCTCCATTAAGCCTGGAAAAAGATCTTAGGTCCCACAGAACGGAGAGTAAAAAATGCTATAAGGGTGATAAATCCATTTAAAATATGACATTAACACTGTAATTTAGCCTCATAATTAAATCGCTTACTAAAAGACAAATCTCTTCCTATACGTCTTAATCCAATAGGATTTGAAATCATTCTTCATAGCGAAATTCAAATCTCTAACGACCGTATTCACAAGGATCAAAAGTTAAGTGAATGGTAATTTAACCTCTAACTCTAATCCTTTATTACGAAAACGGATACAAATCAGACTTCTCGATGCATCACGTTTGGTTATTCTAATTAATTTATAAAAACAAGTCTAAAGAAAATGAAGAATCAGGTGGTAATAAAATGTTTTAAAAACCATCAATTTTTGCAGCCTCACTCAGGGATTATCTGCCTCATCGCTACACACTTTAGATCCCCGTATCGGTCACCAAGGGCACGAACTTGTTGTAGTCATGTAATATTTACAAGATAAGGCGGTGCACCATTACCTCTATATAAAAAGGAAATAATTCATAGAATGAAGTGTTCAAAAACGAGCCCAATTACATTTAGACTAGGCGTTTATCATATACATACGAACACAGGAACATCGGATTCATAAATAAATCCGATGTTTTCTTATTTCTGTCCGTCTTCATATTTGCAAAGCAAGCATTCGAAGAAAAAGATTTTTTCAAAAATAATCGAAGATACCAAACGAAAGCCTAATTCTGGGAGGGGGCAGTCTTAACTACTTTCAATAATACCGAAGTTTCGGTATCTAACTGCAACGGGAGGTTTACGTTGTACTGCACATTAGATCATCAAAGTACATGTTACAACTTAAGAGAATAACACAGTATATTTACTAGAAATGGGCAAATATCACTTTCGAACACGTTCGGAATCTAGTCTGCTTCTTTTCTTCTGGCAAATTAAACCAGAGATGCTGAAGAAAGAGTTACTAAATTGGAGATTTCCCCAAAATGGGACTTTTCAAGTCAACTGGGAAAAATGGAGAAATTTCATTATTACAGGTTATTGGAATTCGAGTATAGTGGATAGTATTTGCCATGTCTAATAATTACGAATGGTATGACTTACAATATGCCACGTAAGCTTTCCGTTGCTACTGAATACCGAAACTCCGATAAGACTAGATCTCCTGGTTCTTCCGGAGAAAGCGGAAAATGCTCTAGTGCCATCATCCCAAAACAAAGTTCCATTCTTCTTCCATCAGAAAACTTAAATGAGAATTTCATCATTGGAAAAATGGCAGAATAATTAACATCTGCACCAAATTTAATTTTACCTCAAATGAAAAAAAATCGAGTTTAAATCAAAAATTATTATTATGGTCATAACTTGTACTTGTTGATCATGTCGTTACTACTTTTAACCAAACTACGAAGTAAACTTTTTGGGGAAAAAATATATATATAAATATAAACAAATTTTATGAAAAACAAGTTCTTTATTTTTCAAGTTTTAAATCAATCAGACGCAACTCTTCTGAAACTACTTAATATGGCAGACGGAATATTTTCCGGACATTTTTTGACATTACATGTTCGAGTAATGGCATAACAGCAAATTTTCTATTACCTTAGCGATATGAAAAGACGCAGCAATCTAGTGTAAACGGCGAATATTTTAAATTTATGGACTTATCATTACTGAGCTAATCTACAATCCAGAGTCTAAATTTATCATGCATTATTTTATCTCTCATCTAATTTTTCAATATTGTCGCTTCAGTTTCCACTTCATAGAATTTCGTTTAAGTTTTTCCATAATCCGTAAAGAAGGGACGTGTCTTTTAACCAAACTTCTGGAAAAACAATACATTCCCGATAAGATGTCACTCCCTCATACTACCAAAAAGAAAACTACCGACCTGTGAATATTGATCACAAGCGCATAGCCCATCTCTAGGTAAAAAAGGACACTAATTCAATGTAAAGTGCTACGGGGCGCGAAAGAAAAAACCACCAGATTTCTTTTAGACATTTATTCTCGTATATAACTGTGGAAGAAAATACTTTCACACTGGCACACGATCACAAATATGACAATTCTGGCGTTATTTCTTTTTTTTATTTTTATCTGGGATTTATTTTTAAAATCTATAAGAAATACTAAATGAAACTGTACACGATTCGTATTCTTCCGAATGGAATAAAATAAAGAGATACAACGCGTGCGCATCGCGCATCCGGCAGAAACCGGAAGTCGTCCAAATGAATAGCACGAGAAGAACAAAAATACAAATATATGTCTTTTAAAGCACTTCCATTGCACTGATGATTCATTGGGCAAAGCGTATTCATATATTGCTTAACGTACGATTTCGGTATTAAAAGACTACGTGTTCGATACATTTTTTTCTGTATGTCTGTCTGTTTTTTTAAATACGTTCTTAAAAATTACAAATGGTATATTTGCAAGATTACGAGTGTACTGCATGTAAGCGTTTCCCAAAGAGATAATCGGACACGCACTTTATTTTTTATATTTTTGTGTGTACGGAGCGGTGCGATTCGCGAACGGATTTACATCAGAGGTCGCCTTCCTCGCTGACCGAAGTACAGTCTAATTCGCCGTTTCCCAGCGAGCAGAGGTCGTGTTCTCTGGCCCTCAACTGCGACTCTTTGCGTTCCTTGTTGGCCGCGGCCCAACAGGCCAGCGTCTGAGCCACCTGCACTTCAGTGTCCGTATCGATTTCGATATTGATACTGTTTCTGTCTGGGCTGTGCTCGTGCGCGTGTTCGGTCCTTAGCCTCTTTGGGCTTTGGGAAAACTGCGTTTCCTCCTCCGTCGTACTGCCTTCCGGCGACGTTTGCGATTTGGCTCTCTTCCTCCTCTTAGCGCCGTCCGCCACCGGGCTGTTCGTTCTGCTGTTGGCGAACTTCCTCTTGTACTTCCTGCCGCCGGAACTGTCCGCACCGCTTTCCGTGTCGCTGCTGGAGATGTCGGATGGCACGTCGTTCGTGGTCTGGGTGGTGGTCAGTTCCTCCTCCGAAGCGTTATTGATGGTTTCCGCCGCGAACGACGAACCGTTTAACGATTCCGTCGTGAAACTCTGCCTGTGATTTTCCGAGGGAACGGTGGGTTTGTTATTGCAGTCTACCGCGGGTCGCTGATTGTCGCTAGTTTGCTCTGTGGACAAAGCGTTCGTGCCCAGAATTGGACTAGCTACCTTTTTCTCGATTACCGGGTTGGAATTGGACGACGTTTCTGTCCTGTTATCGATCGAGGGCGAAGATTCCCTGCTGGCCACGCTGATGGCGTCCTGGTTGCTGGGGGGTTCGACCACCAGTTCCAATTTCAGAGTCGTCGGCAGCGACGAGTCGGGCTTCTCCGCGTTGGACATGGACGATTGGCACGTGTTCTCCGCACTTTTTTGATTGACGTCTTTATTACAATTGATCGCGTCCAATCCGTTGATCTCTTCTTTGATGGAACTGAGATTTAAGAGGTTGGTCAATTTTTGATTTTCGTGTAAATATTTGCTTATTTGGTCTTTCGCTTCTCGTAATTGCAACTGAAGGTAATAAATAGTGCTCTGCATCCCTTCTACTTCTTCGTCCAGTGCCAACAGAAGATCGTCCAAATCTACGAAAATTAAAAAGATAAATTTCGAAATCTCTAAGAATAAATTAACGAGTTAATTTATAACTTATTGTTAAAAAAAGATGCATTCCTATAGCAGTGTTTCCCAATCTTTTTGAATCGCGTAGTTAGTTAGATTCCAGGATTTTGTCCACAATGAAGAATTGCTACTTCACCATTATGACTATTGTGATGGAATGTCGATTCTAATTTCGTGCAAAGGTTTTAAGTATATAAAATATCGGGTGTTCATTTAATGCTCTAAATTTATCCCAGGAACACAAAACACATTACAATAAATAAACTATAAAATGGTGAAAAGTTTTTCTTTTAAAATATTTTTATCGATATTTGATTTCATTTTCCTCTGATGATAAACTGAAACAAATATGTTCATTCGGATAATACTTTTCGGTACACGGTTGGGAAACACCAACCTACAGGATATTATTACTAATTACTTGACTCAACCTTCATTCGCACTTATATTTTATGATACATTCTTCAGATTTTAATGGATTTTATTTGAATGAACGTTAAGAATATCACCGATAAACACAGGGAAAATAACTATAAAAAACAAAAAGATTTTTAACGAGAAATATCTTTTCAGACTGAAAACAACGTTTACGAAAATAGTTTATATCGACCTTACAACTTCTTTTTACAGCTATTTTCGATTATTTCATTATTGTTTTAGGACAGATAGTAAATTAAAATATTATTCTGTATCTATCCTAAACAATCGTTCAATTTTGACGACTTTTAAAAAACAAATACCATAAATACTCTATCTGAATAATCATATTGTCAAAGGCTTAATAACTGGCAATTATCTCAAACTGTAATTGTTCTCAATTTTATTCTATGGTGTAAACTATACGAAGATATACATTTTATAAGAAGTTTGGCTTTTGAACACATTATGTTGAATGGAACTGAACTGTGCAATGCGCTAAGAAATTTCATAATTATCTACAGGCTACAGCTACAGGCTCAAAGATCGTATCATTTTTTTCGTTCTTTCTTTTGTTTTTATGCACAATTTGATTTACCAAGTATGTTATGCAATTAGCAAATTTTGTAGGTATTTTTTTAAAATCATTAGAAACGGTGTGTATTTTTAGAGTCTTATTCATTGCATTTTTTGCATTCTCGTATTATGGCTTTATTCTATTATTAGCTTTATAAACTACGTATGTTATTGTTTCAGGAAAGGGCAGCATTTTCTTGGCTTTTATTGTACAGTAGAAGCTGTATTTATTTAATAAAAAATATCTAACGAATGAGCACTTACTAAGGAATATGCTTCTCATAAAATAACATTTTCATTAGTCTTGAATGCTGTATTATCTAGATTAAATTGTATAATAGTTCTTTTTTCATTTAATTTTAATTCAAGAAAGAATAAGAGGTATATAGGAGTCTATATGTAATATACTTCTAAATTATATTATTTAAAGAATTAAAGTAAAAATACAAGTAACAAAGAGCTTAAAGATTTTTACAGAACTATTTGTTTATTTTTTTAATTTAATAATAATGATAATTAGTAGAACTGAATTACAATTATTTTTATAAGCAGAATTTTTTAATATAGAATGTTTCAGTCTTAAGAGAAAAGAGTTCTTTCGAAGATAATTGAGGGACTTGAAGGAAAATACTTTCAAAATAGAGTTGCCATACATCTTGTGTTTCCTTTCTCATTCTGATGTTCCATAGCAAACACCATTACATATAAAAACTTCAAAAATAGTTCATTTTGTTTCTTATTTTTAAGGGTAGTCTCATGAGAAAATGCTTGATTATTATTATTATTACAAATAAAACTTCATATTTCCGTTATCCCTATTTAGATATGAAAAACTATTTAATCCTAATTAATTAAGTTAACTGACATGTTGTGAGGTAAAACCAGTGTGTTTCACTTACATTTTTTTGTGTTTTACATTATTCTGTTGTTTAGACAATCATCTTTCTGTTAACACAGAATTTTGTCATTTTATGAGCAGAGGAAAGGTTTTGGAATAAATGGCTGCTCACAGATTGTTAAATTGTTAAAGATTCAGATGTGGAAGAATGTTTAGCCTAACCTCAAATTGTAATTGGTAAGTTAACATTTTAAATCAGTCTGATAGTTATAACTACCAGTTACTTTAATGTAGCTGACTTGCCAGAAATAATTAAAAATATGGAGAAATATGTTAAATGAAATTAGCTTAATTTGTTTCAGAAATTGACAGGTAAGCTTGATATTTAACTTTGACTTTCCTACATATCAGCAAGAGAAACATGCTATACAGAGGCAATGTTAAAATATGCTTAAGGCTTTTATGACTTTTATTTAATTTTTAGAAAATAAAAATTATTATATATTTGATTACTACTGTTAAAATATCTTGATTTTGTACAAAATCTTTACATTAAAGATAAAATAAAATTAAAGATGTTCTATTGCATGTTCATAACTTCAAGTTTCATTCTATTATAGTTGTTCTGGATATTTGAATTTAAATTTATTTTATTAAAAGTGTTAGCTACAGGAAATAAACAGTTGTTTGAATTATTTATTTGTCAACAAAACTTGTCACAAAACTTGTGACAAAATGTTTAATGTCACAAAACTTGCCATGATGGCAAGTTGTTCTTATAAATTCACAAATATTTGCATAAATTTTTTTAATGCCCATATTTTTGTTGAATGAAGGAGAGACATGTATTAGCAATAAATTTGAAAAAAACAAAATCAAATATATCTATCAATATATATATTGATAGATAAATTTGATGTTACTTAATATATATATAAGTAACATCATAATATATGTAAACATTTTTGTCAGATAATTTGTTTTTATAAAGATTATTATGTAAAAATAACATCATATTAACACACTTTAAAAAATATAATATTCTAATGACACAGATTTATTAATTATCTTAAAACTATATTTATTTTTTAAATAAAATTATCTTTGATTTAAAATTAACTAACATGCCATTATAAGCGTATATGTTATTAATTTTAACTTAAAAACCAATGGGCTTGACAACATAGTTTTCTGGGTTTTCTTCATATGTCTAATGCCTGCAAGCCAGTTTCTCACAAAAAGTCCTGCTAGGACACATTCCCCTTGTCAGATTTCCCATATGTTGCAATGCTTTATTCCATCAATCCATCCACTGACACAAATCTTAATGCTGACATTTTAATAATCTTGTAAAGGATGTTTTATGACTAAATTACATTTTCCCTATGTATGGCATCTTTTGAGATACCTGAAACTTTTGATATCAGAGATAGTAACATTTTTAGAGATATTTTACTTCTTAAAATTTAAATAAGAAAAGAAAAATATATATTAAACTTTATAAAGTTAAATGAAGTATGAAAACAGAACTCTAATTTGAAACTAGGCATTCAAACATACCATACCCTAGATTATAAATAAAACTATCCTGAAGTTCTCCAATTGACAAAAAAATCTTTGTATTGTTGTTCTAAAATATTTAAATATGATATTCACAAATTCAAGTTTTATGTAATAGATATTTCAAATAGCAATACTTCAAAAATAAAAAAAATTAAATTTCTTGTTTATATGAAATTTTATATTCATCCTATTTTAATACATGTAACAATGTTGAGTGTTGTTGTAAACCATAAATAAATTTTTCAAGAAATTTAATTTTTTTGAATTTTTGAATTTGAATACAATTTATATAATATAATTCTTAATGCACATTTAAAATTATTTTATAATAATTTAAATGAAAAAAAAAAAGCTTTAAATTCTAATATCTATGAAAACTAAAATTATCAAATGTTCAAGTTTTTCCTATGATTCTCACTGTTCTTATCAAAGTTTTTACTTCCAACATATAAGATAATATAAAATAACTAGTATCATTTAAAACTAAGTATTACTTACAGCACTTTTGTTCAATTCAAGTTTATTGATGTATAAGGCATTAGCCTGTTACAGGGAGTGATTAATATACATATTTGATATTAGAACCAAACGTTTAAATAACGTATCATTTTATATTATTAGTTCATAACATATTGAATTCCTTAGTTTTTTATCATTATTATTTTATTCTTTAAAATTTCTCCTCAATTGGTTATACAAGTTATATATATTAATATCTGCTTTGTTTAATTTCTTGTACATTATTATATCCTCCGTATAGTTGATATCATGTTCATTATCTGAATTTGAATCCTGTTCTTTTTCGATGCTGCATTCGAAAAACAAATGTACTTTTGATAGTGGTTTTTTGCACCTAGGGCACTGGGTTTGGGCATATTCTATATGTTTGTCTCCAATCATCAATCCATTTTGATTTAGCCATAGCTGTATAAAAAATTTCTTAACACTGAATGCAAGGTTTGTTATCATGTAATTGTTAGTTAATGGAAAATTAAAAATTATTTTATAGTATTTATTTCTTCTTTTTGGATATAGAAACACATATGTCTTTTCAGAGGATTATTACCATTTCTAAAGATCATTACTTCTGATTTTTTTGGGTTTATTTTGACTTTTAAATTTTCTAAGTATATAATTATCTGTTGAAATTTTCTTTGTAATACTGCGGCTGTAGGAGCCAATATAACTATACGTCAGCATATGATACTGTATGTGTAATTAAGTCATCAATGTAAATTCCATCTTCTTCTTTTCTAAAACAACTGTTAAGGTCAAATATATAAAAATTAAACAAGTATGGAGCTAATAGGTTGCCTTGTAGTAAACCTCTAGTTTGGTTGTAAAAGGTGCACAGCAACTATTATTTTGTTTAATAATTATTTCATAGTTTCCATATAATAGATCTATCATTTTTATCAAATATTTACTTGCGTTATATTTCCTCAATTTATTCTGGAATAGCTTTATACTAATGGAGTCAAACGCATTTTTCAAATCCAGAAAAATAGCAAATATCTTATGTCTTTTTTTTAACAGTTGGAGTTGAGTTGTTGACAATAAGGCAAATAA